CATATTGAAAATATTTTTAATCGATAGATCTCGTTGTGAAACTATGATCTGCAAAAAATCTCCGAGCTAGATGTTGTAGTTCTCTATAAACTTCTAATGTACGCTCAGCCTGGGACACCCTGTAGATATGGGACCGCATTTAAATAAGATAATTATGGGCAAATAATAATTTTATTCAATTACTGCATGCTGTTTCAGAAACGTGTTTTTGCTCTTATTTACTGAAACAATGGTAGAATGGCAAATATAATAGATCATTATTGTAGTTAGTAAGTAAACATAAATAATTCGTTATTATTTTTACAACGAATATAGATTTTCGTATAAAAATGTCAGGATAATATCGCTATTTAGCTATAATAAGCAATAAGACTCTAAGTCTCGGTCTCAACATTTAATAATTTAATTAGTAATAGGAAAAAAATTTAGCAGACCTTGCAGTCGAACATTGTTCTTTTTAGAACTGTTTATATATTTATAATTAATCTATTTTTGTTTCCTAAAATATTTTGATTAAAAGAAAATAATCAAAAGTGGGCAACGCTGTGCCGGCCAAGCTCAATCACGTGAATAAAAGTTTATTTGATATGAACTATAGTAGTTTATTAAATGAAATAACTTGTCTAGAACAAACAATTACTGTAACCAACTTTTAATATCTCACCCGAATGCATTTTTTCAAGTCCATCTCTCATCAAAATTACTATACGAAATTGTAGATCTGCCGTTCACAAACCCATAATTAAAAATTCCACCGGGCAAGCTAACGACCTTTTAATTGACGTCTCCAAACTGACATAATAGGAGGATCATCTTCCTCTTTTTCTTCTTGTTGTGTTTGGTGATGGAAATGATAAAGAATGTCATTTCTTTCTACCTGAGCCTAACTGTTCACCCAAGATTGCTTTTTGATGACCTTTCACTGTACAAGGATGAATGGATGTTTTGGTTGTGTCAAGTATCTAGTAGCAATAAATTGTTTCACACCTTTTGATTATATGTGTCATTGACATAAGTGTATTTTCTGAATATTATTTAAGGCGGTTAGTACATTATAAAATTTTTTGTCTTAAGGCAGTTTGGAAAAACTCCTTTTTGGAATGACTCGTTAATTAAAGTAGTAAGATGGTTTAATGTGCATTCAGGAAGTTCAGAGAACATTTTGAGAGTAAGCCCGTCAGTCCCAGATGAGGATTTGTTTTTAATACTATTAATTGTACTACGGAGCTCATCTAATGCTACGGGCGTGAAGAAGAAACTCTGTAAATTCTCATTTGCTTTAGGGAGATATGAAAGTGAATCATGGGAAGGAGTTATGGTGTTTACTAAATTTTTAGCTACATTAACAAAGTAAGTGTTTAAATCTTCAGGTGGAATTAAAGACTGTGCCAGATGAAGAAGTCCTATTCCTTAAGTCATTTAGAGTAGCCCAAGTCTCCTTAGCGACATTACCAGCTTTTATAGTCTTACGATAAACCTTTCTATAAAGTTTCACGTAATTATGAAAGAAGACGCTGTCCGTGAATTTCTTAAGGTGAGATAATGGGCGCATGTTCTTTGCAGATATACGCAAGCCTGTAGTAGACGAGGGTATACCTTGTTTAATTTTGATAGGCCTAAGAGGAAACGCCTTGTACGCCAGATTAGACAAGGTATCCATAAATTTAGAAAATTCGGAATCGACGTCAGCCGAGAGGAAAACCCACTCAGTTGTTAGACATAAGTAGTGAAAATTTAGAAAATTTTCATCCGAAAAAATACGGCCCAATTTGCGCGAGGTATTTTTGCATTTGGATTTTGGCAAACACTTTGTCAATACTGCCTCATGAGCAGAGAAACCTGAGTGAAGGACTCTACTGTCAACGAATTCCGGGTCAAAAGACGACACGACATAGTCTATAGTACTAGAGCCTGTTTTAGCTATTCTAGTTGGTGAGTCAACATGCATGAGTATACCAAAAGAATGAAAAATGGACTGGAGAGACTCCTTAGCTGCACACACACTGGAAAAGTCAATATTTAGGTCGCCACACAAAATTAATTTACTTTTTATAGGTAGGGAATCAAGCAAGCTTAGCAATTTTTGACTGAAAATATGTACGTCAGCGTCAGGTGTTCTGTAAATACAAATAATATAGAGGTCAAAAGCATTATGATAAACGACGGAAAATTCAAAAATTTTTCGGATATTAGAGTATCGAACTTAGTTACTGCCGAAAAGTCGTTGTTAGTAGACATTATCATAGTACCTCCATAAGATGAGTTACTTCTATTGAATCTAGTTAATGTAGTGTATTTTTTGACAAATATAGGCTCATCCATATTTAACCAATGTTCAGTTATGGCAACAATTTCTGGAAAACTGAGCTCTTCTAATAAGAGATATAATTCATCTGTTTTATGTCTTAAGGACTGAATATTAATTAAAAAAAAAGACTAAGATTAACGGAGATCGGAAGCTTACGTATAGCGTCAATACAATAAAAATACGGAACGAATATGGAATGGAAACGGAAGGTATAGTGAGAAACCAAGTGTCCAGGTTTCGCATGCATAGGTCATGACTGGTAGTGTAGTACATATTGGTCGAATGTTTTCTTCTTTAGGTATATAGTGGCATTCAAGATTTGAATATGATTAATGTAATAATGTGATAATATTTATGTAATTAATTAATTTTTGTAATAATTAATAGTAATTAGTAATTGATTGAAATTATTATTAAATGTTTAGTAATTGATTAATGTAATAATGTGGTAATGTAATAATGAGTTTTCTTTTAATCTTCAAATAAAAATATATCTAATCAGAAGATCTCTTAGAGAAGACGGTCAAGATGAAGAAGAAAAAGCAGTGGTTATAAACAGAAACAGGTAGCAAGAAGTGACATTATCAGTTCAATCGGCGGAGAAAAAACATGTTTAGGTGCCAGCATCGCTATAAATTGACGACAGACGATACCATTTTTTCTAACGTCTTGACAAATTATGTCATTAATACACTAGATACGTAATATATCGATTAAATATGATTTTTAATGTCTTGACACAGACTTTTTATGTTGCCTATAATTAACTCATTTTATATTAATATTTGAGAAGTTTTGATAGAATTATATTAGGAAGTTACAAGTCTTTGATAGTATTTACAACTCTTACAGCGCACAGTGCTTCGTCCCATGGACAAAAATCGAAAAAAAAATTTAAAATTTATTAATATCTGAATATGTAATTATATACTTATAGCAATGTTCAACCATCCTGTATATTATTTTTCATAAACAGCGTTTTTTGTTAGCAAATATTTTCACTAAAAATAAATTTTGCGATCATTATCTTATCAGTGAAAAGAATAACATTCATAGTAGTTCTGTATATTATGGAGTTAAACGGTTCGTACTTAATTGAAAGCCACTATGGATATTGTTAAACAAGGAATGTACTTTAAATTTATTTCTAAACAAGTTCGTGATTGTTTAGTTTTTATTTATTTTTTAAGATGATTCTTAAATGGGTATAAAAATTTTACGTTTTCAAACTTCAAAAAGGCATTTAAAAAAACATATCAAAACATAACGTATTTATTGAATATATGTGTTGTCATATTCATACACTTTTAATTTTTGTATAGTTCACCTGCGTCTGCTTGCGACAAACTTTATTTTATAATACTTTTCAGATGGAGTAAAATTGATAAGCAAAGCCGATCTGGTTAATACTTGGCTTGATCATAAGGACAAGAACTCAAAATTATTTGTATTTCAAAAAATGTGTTCTTTATTAGATATTGATGAACCTTCCAGTCAAATGAGACACCACTTGTGCCTGAAAAGCCCACTATGTTGGAGCGAAACGTCGCATAAAAATTTTCCAACTTTCAATTTATTATAAAACCTCATACCCAAGAAAAGGAAAAAATAATATATGGATATGGTCTATTAAAGAGGTAACTATTAATATCCGAACCCCTCATACCAGCAAGAAGAACAGTAACAACGCGAAAAATTAACTTATTAGAAAATGATGTGCAGAAATATCTTATATGTGAGGATACTTCATCTACCTGTGATTTGGATACTATAAATTTGGAAGATTCTGTCAGCAGTGATTCTTCTGAATCAGAGTAGTTACGATCTATGCATTTTGTTGTCTTAAAGTAAATCTATAGTATCTTAGTTTTTTTTTAATTAAATAATGTTTCTTTTTCATTAAAGAAAAACATATTTATCTTATATTAGGCTTATATTGTAGGAATCATGTTCTAATGTTATTTCAATTCTTTTTTATCACAGGGATTTATTTAATACTTACACCGTTTTCATACTATAAATTATTATTTCCTTAGATAGAACACAGCTACAACATTTTTATTATTTATAAGATTTTTTTTTATAAACGTGGGACTAAGAACATCATCATTTAGTACAATGAGAGTACTCATCATTTGTGTCAAATAAACCTAGTTTGAATAAATTGCCTACTATAAAAGAGAAGTTTTGCATTTTTGTCCTCTAGAGCCATATGTTCGAAGCACTGTGCAGCGGTGACACTCGGCCTTGAATGACGGCCGCGAGACGGCCATGACACCAGCGGGACGGCCATGATGGCAGCGAGACGCGCGAGAGGAATAGTGATAGCGGCAGTGTTGCCACCGCTACCCCATTCGGGGTAGATCTACCCCTTTGGCTCTGAACCCTAGCTCTGAACCATAGCAAAGAACTGACTCCACCAATGTTCTTCCAAGTCTCTTTTTAGTTGTTGCAGACAAGTTTCGGTCCCGCCAGAGTCTATTAAAACATCCAATAACTTGTTTGCTCTTTTGAATTCGGGTTTGTATTTCTTCTTTGCCCAAACCCTCGTTGTTGATACTAGCACCCAGATATTTAAATTTGTCTACTTGTTGAATCTGGACGTTATCATTAAGGCAGACTTCAAAACAAGTGAAACTTATAAATTAAGACATATAAATTTAAATTATTGAATTCTTTGGTGTGTTTTCAGCGTGTCCTCGAGTCGGCAAAACGGATTTCCTGGGGGTGCAGGGTGCCCACCCATGTCCGCCCCTCCACCACCACGCGCAGCTCGTGTCGCCCAGCGCCTTCGGAGGTGAGGGCGGCCTGGCCGCCCCAGGGCTGGCAGCGGCACCCCAGCACCACCACCAGCAGCTCCCCCAGCAGCAGCAGCAGCAGCAACCCTCTAGCCAGGCGACGATGAACCAGCTGGGCACAGTGTACGCGACCAAGAGGAGAAGGAGGAACGGAAAAAGGTCAGTAATTGGAGGATGTATTTGTATCTGTATTTGTATTTTACTAAGAGTGAGCCACTGGTGGGACAGTCCACTGCGACAGCAATGGCCTATTGTGGCTCAGTTCTACAAACTTTATTTAGTTCACCCTCAAGATTCAGCCTTGTAATATAGGTGGTTATATCTATAAAATAATAAATATAAGAAGTGTAATCGATGTTAAATCATGCAAACAGTGTGGCTGCCTGGGTAACTAATTTTCAGATATGGCGGCTGTGACATTTGACATGACAATTTCAATTTTATTAAATTTATTTTTTAATGGCGGGCTCCCCATTAGGTTTCAATGAGGTTTACTATACTTTTTACTCTTTTTAGTAGTAAATAATACAACAAAATTACTCGAAAATATTTATTTGAAATTTAGAACAATGTAAATATGCAAATCAACACAATTAAAGAGATATAAATAACTGGAAGCAGGAAAAAGACAACAGGAACCCCCACAAAACTTGAAATCAAACAAAAATTATGTAAAAAACATAAATATAGATTAAATAAGACTTTTGTGAATTAAATCAAACAGGGCTTGAATGAAAATAAAAAAATATGATACATATTCCATCTAATACCGCCATTTGTATTTTAAAAATAATCTACACGCATAGATTTATTGCATTATTGCTATTAAAATACATAATAGGTATATGTAATTATGCATTTCTGTACAGGGTGGGTCAGATTGGACGCTTTTAAAGGGAAACCCCTTTTTTTATAGGAGATAGACGAAAACTAATATCGGTGTCTGGAGCTCAATTTTAATCAAAAACATGATGGTGAAAACCGCACATTGATATCTGTTACCGTTTAGGAGTTACGGGGTGTTTTTCAAAAATGTGCATTTTTAACAAATCTCTGTAACTTTTTTGCTATGAAAAATTTTGTATTTTTGTGAGAACATTTTCAATGCACCTTTATACGTAGAATTTAATGGTTTAAGCATATGTTTTTTTAAAATTAATAATTTAAGAATTATCAACAGAAAATTTGATTAATTAATTGAAAATTAATAATTGAAGAATTATCATAAAATATTTTTTATATGGGACACCCTGTAGGTATATTTTTAATTCTTTGAAAAGAATTTAAAATTACCTTTCCACAAATATAGCATACTTGATATTTTGCTCGATTCCTCTTCGAGATATAGAGTTTTTAAAAATTCGCCCACTTTCAATAAGTAGGCTTTGAATGGCGCCGGCTGTAATGCAAAAAAATTCTAACTGTGAGCAGCAATTAAAACGAAAATAATATTTGCAATGAGAGATGCAGAATTTTATAACAATTTAAATTATATTTAACAACATCAACTCATTTAAACTATATCTAGTAACAAGAAAAATTAATAGCAAACCAAGACATGAGATTTTGCTACAGGTGTCCGACATGGACAGACGGGACCGTTTTTGAACATTTCTCGCGGAATTCATTAACTCACTAGGGATGAAAGATACCTTCGCATAACCGCTAAGTACTTCCAATTCTTGTCTACATTATAAGGGCAATTTAAAAATAAGAACCTTTATTCTTCTGCAAAGATAAAAATCCATTTACACTAAGTCCGGCGGCCTCGATGCCCAACGGCTGGGATCTTGGTTAGCTATTCAATTATTCTAGAAATTGGCTGCAAAAATTTGCTGATAACTTCAGCGTTCTGAGGCGGTGCATCGTCTTCCTGGAAAAATATGTTTTCGAGTTCCATTAGGGGCAGATCATTAAAAAGGGGTCCAAAGCCTACTAGTTATAAAAGTGGCGAACTTTTAAAAATTCTGTATTTCGAAGTAGTCCGCTTTAACAAAATATCAAGTGTGTTATATTTTTGGGAAGGTAATTTTAAGTTGTTTTCATTTAATTTTTAAAAATGTTTGCTGATAACTCTTAAATTGTTAATTTAAAAAAAATACTTAAACCATTAAATTCTACGTAAACACGTGAAATTTTTCATAAAAATATAAAATTTTCCGTCGCAAAAAATTTACAGCAATTTGTTAAAAGTGCACATTTTTGAAAAACACCCCGTAACTCATAAACGGTAACGGATATCGATGTGCGGTTTTCACCATCAAGTTTTTGATAAAAATTGAGTTCAGAGACTGATATTAGTTTTCGTCTATCTCCTTTAGAATAGAGTGTTTCCCTTTAAAAGCGTCGAATTTGGCCCACCCTGTACAGTCCATGGGCAAGAAACAGGAAAAGAGAATGGAGAGACCATGTGGACCAATGCCAAATAACTAGCGATGGGAACTATCGAATGAATTATGCTATCGAATGGTTACTGAATGAATGATTTCAACTATCGAATGGTTTTATTCGAATAAAATCAATGCCAAATAACTAGCGATGGGAACTATCGAATGAATTATACTATCGAATGGTTACTGAATGAATGATTTCAACTATCGAATGGTTTTATTCGAATAAAATCATTCATTCATTTGTATACTAAAGCATATGTGACAACCTCGCCGTGCGACTAAATGGTTATCGTTGAGCCACGACTATCGAATGCTTTTGATAAATGAAATTTAGTATTCGTTTGATTTTTGTGTGCGTCAGTGCATTATTAGTTCTTCCAAATTTTTATAACTTCGCCGTATAAATACTGCGCTATTTTTGCGTTTATTAAAATATTTAAAATACTAAAATAGTAGTTTTTTTTTAATTTTATTTATTGACGATTGTGTGCATGTGCAGGTGATCAAAATTTTTCCGAAAATTTGTGTGGTTTTTCGTAGTCCGATCTTTCAATTATTTAATTTTATATGGTATATGGTCTATTTTTTAATGGGAAATTTTGAGAAGTAGCAATTTTTAAGAGAAATGAGATGAACTTACAATTAATTTTAAAAATACATATTTGTATTTTAGATGTTTTAATAATATGAATTAGTTGAACTTAATAATCATATTTAAGTAATGTGGTTAAGTAAATGGGGTTATATCGAACTCAAACTATGGGGTGAGAAAATTAAAATGAAAGTTTTACACGTGCCAATTTTAAAAAAAAGTTAACGATGTTTGTATTTTGTTTATGCTAATTCTCTTACATGTAGTTTTTTGCGAAGAAATATTTCATTTATTTTTTAAAGTAAATGCCAGTAAAAGTAATATAATTAATTAATATAATTTTTAAATAGAGATATAAAGCACCTAATATAAATAATTTTGATTTCTAATTTTTTATTTATATTTTCGTTCCATTACACTGCATGCTTAGAAAATTAATAAATGTTTATATTTCATGATTTTAAAATTTGTTGTTAATATAACAAATTAGTTCTGTAATTATTATTATTTAACAAACCAACGTTGCCAAAAAATTTAAAGACTATATTATTTTTAAATAGGATCTAATATAAATAATTTTGACATCTAATTTGTTGTTTATATTTTGCTACTACTTAAAAAAATATTGATATTAAATCATTTTAAATTTTGTTGTTAATAGGTATAACAAATTATTACTGTTATTATTATTTATTAAACCAGTCTTTGCTTAAAAACATTAAAAATCACTTTCATGTTCTTACATCCAAAATAACAAGTATTATTGCAGTGTAACAACAGAATATTAATAAAAAAAAATGCAGAATATATAGACATACTATCCCTAACTAACTAAAGCCAAACAATAATATTCTTTGCTAATATCAACTAATGCCAAAATATGGCAACAGCGCCCTTCATAATGTATTTTCTGTGTAAATACTAGCACCTCAATAAAAAAAATAATGTGTCCTTATCTATATCTGACTCCGCAAAAAATCAAAGATGCCGGCTTCTTTCATAGCATTGCCACCGACTGCTGTCGGGTTTCTCGGAAAGAAACCTACGTCGCCGGGCGACAACTAAAATTCAGTTAATATTTTATTATAATCGATCCTGACGAATAAATGAATTTCATAAATGAATGAATTGTATAAATGAATGGTTTTTGCTGCCGAATTACTAGAATACAATGTTTCAAGGCAGATGACGGAATCTATTCGATAATTTTTATTCGAATAGTTTTCAACAAATGTTTTCTTACTAACTATCGAATTATTCGAATGAATTGCAACTATCGAATGTTTCGATAGTATTCATTCGATAGTTCCCACTACTACAAATAACCATTTAGCGAAAATTTCTAAAGAAAAACGACCAAACACGACTCGATAGCCCAGACGACCACCTATAAGATGGTTTGAAAGCTGGTCTTCATCCCAACTGTTCCTAGGAAACCCTTGCAGAAAATACAGGACATAGTTGTACGTATGAAGAAGAAGAAGAAGAAGAAATGAAGTATGCGAAAGTCTGTTTTACGATACAGTGTGGAAATAAAAAAAATCTTCTTAACCTTGTAAAATATGGAGTTTTACTTCATCTCTTACTTTTGCTAAAGAAAATTAAAAATTGCACTAACGGACTTTTGCTAAGTAACATTGAAGTATTGAGCTGTATCGCTCAACCGCCCCTTTAACACGAAACGACTTTTTCCATTAGAAAATTGTCTCGTGAGAAACAAGTTTTATAAATAAGCAGTCGTAGAAGAGTCGACACTGAATACGGATTTCACACGATTAGTTAAATGGAAACTGCATTTCGCAATGAGCCACGTTAAGGACTGAAAATAAAATTACTATAGTGCCGGAAAAGAAGAAAATTGACTTCGTTTTTGGCAAGAAATTTCCATACATTATAAAAGGTTTATTTTAATAACATTGTCAAAAAGATCCTAAAATCAGCTCAAAAAAATCAAAACGTGGTCCGAATTGTATTCGAGAAACTTCGGTAACATATTTTACCGATAAAAATAAGTAAAAAAGTTCGTATAAATTTATATTCTAAAATACTTCGTTTCTGAGATGCACGGTGTTGAAATTTTATTTTTTTAATCGATTTTTTCCAAATAATTTCTACTAAAACTAAAGGTACATTCAGGCTGAGAGCGTCGAGCGTCGCGTCCATTGAACTCGAAC